AAAATCAATAAAATATATTTTTTAAAAAGATACTATTTATTGCTGTCAGAGGGGAGGGGTTTGGGGGAATACCACTGGATGAAAGAAGGTGAAGAGATTACCAAAAACATATACACATAACCCATAGACACACAACTGTGCAGTGATTGCCAGAGGGAAAGGTGAATGGAGGTGGGCAAGGAGGGGGGCATGGACGAGGAATGGGGACCAAAAGAGACTTTGCTTGGGGCAAGGTGTGTACAATGCTGTCTTCAGATGATGTTTTATTAAGTTGTACACTTGAAATATGTATGGTTTTGTGAACCAAAGTCACCCAATAAATTCAAATAAATAAGATAAAATAAATAAAAGATACTATTTAAAAATAGGCCTTACTTTCCAGTACGCATAGGAGCACCCAGTATAGCAACGTGGCAAGATCACAAATCTCAGTTATTTGGGACTTTGGTTCCCTTCAGAAAAAAGGATAAGTTCCACTAAGTGTCAATTCTATTTCAGATCCCTCTATTTCCCCAAGCACAGTACTTACTAGACATACTAGAGGCCCGATGCACGAAATCCGTGCAAGGGGCTTGGCCCCCCCGTCGCTGCCATGGCTGCCTCTGCTTCGGCCCCGTCCAGAAGGTCGTCTGAAAGGACTTCCAGTCTAATAAGCATATTACGCTTTTATTATTATAGGTAATTAGTATTTAATAAATCCTCAAATGCCAAAATGTTCTAAAATTGTTTAAGCCTAAGGACTGAAAATTAAAGACTGGACATCAAGGAGAACTTTCTTCAAGACCCAACTCTGCCATAAAAAGGCAGGGCTTTTATTACAAGGTTATTCTCTGTGGTATGACTGCTCTGAGTCACACTGTGGATGAGCCTACCATGTCCATGAACATGGGATGCTACAATGTCCAGTAGCTCCTTGGACTGAAGAAGACTGAATGCTGCTTGGATGGGTCTGTAAAAATCACTCTTCTTCTGCTAGACATTTTCTATAAGCTTTCAGTCCTTTTCCTGAATAATCAGAGTTAAATTACGTCTGGCAATAGGATCTGGGTCTATGACTTTGACCACTTCTAAGACACATGTCTTAAGAGCTTATTAAGAGCTATATTTTCCTCAATACAAATTTCTTTGAGCTAATTCAGGGGTGGGCAAACTTTTTGACTCGAGGGCCACAATGGGTTCTTAAACTGGACCGGAGGGCCGGAACAAAAGCATGGATGGAGTGTTTGTGTGAACTAATATAAATTCAAAGTAAACATCATTACATAAAAGGGTACGGTCTTTTTTTTTTAGTTTTATTCATTTCAAACAGGCTGGATCCGGCCCGCGGGCTGTAGTTTGCCCACGGCTGAGTTAGGGGCATGATCAGGCCAGCGCAAGGGAGCAGGCAGTTAGGGGCACGATCAGGTTGGTGCAGGGGAGCAAGCAGTTAAGGGATGACCAGGCCGGCTCAGGGGAGCAAGCAGTTAGGGGCACAATCAGGCCAGCAGGGGAGCGGTTAGGGGGTGAACAGGCAGGCAGGCAGAGGCTGTTAGGGGCAATTAGGCAGGCAGGCAGAGGTGGTTAGGGGCGATCAGGCAGGCAGGCAGGCAAGCGGTTAGGAGCAAGTGGTCCCAAATTGTGAGGGGGATGTCCGACTGCCGGTTTGGGCCCGATCCCACAGTCGGACATCCCCCAAGGGGTCCCAGATTGGAGATGGTGCTGGCCGAACTGAGGGACACCCCATCCCCCATGAACAAATTTCTTGCACAGGGCCTCTAGTACTAGATAATAGCATTTATTATATACTAGAGGCCCGGTGCATGAAATTCGTGCACAAGTAGGGTTCCTAGGCCTAGCCGGCAATCAGGGCCGATCGGGGCCTTCTGGCTGCCAGCCGGGGCCTTCCTTCTAGCTGCCAGCTGGGGCCTCCCTTTCCCTGCTGCCAGCTGCCAACCAGGGCCTTCCTTCATTCCGAGTCGCCCCCTGGTGGTCAGTGCATGTCATAGCGAGCGACTGAACTCCTGGTCTCCTGGTTGAACTCCTGAGGGGACAATTTGCATATTAGGCTTTTATATATATAGGTTATTAGCTCATGGGAAAAATCTAATTATAGTTTCCCATGATTACTAATTTGTAGCAGTCATTTTTGTTATTCAACTTCATTGGCAACATTTGCCCTGACCAAGTCTTAGTCAAGTAAAACTGATTCTATGTTGCCTTATTCAAGAAGTTGTGCTTATCAAGAAGGATCAGACTTCTCATTAATGTCTAAACAGATTTTTAGCTACCTAAATGAATTACTTAGCAAAGTCAATGTCCATTTCACATTAATTTCATATCATTTGTAGTATTTTCATTTTTGATGCTCAAATTAATTTGCTCTTAATTCTTCATACAAAACAAAGTAAAGGCCTCAAGGAAAATATCTGATTTGTGTTATTGTAGAAATATTAGATTTGCCATTTAAAATATATTGTCAGTTTGTCTGTTGATATTTTAATTTCTATATTTAATCTTTCCTTTTGCTGCTTTTTTGTTCTTATTTTCAGTTTCTTATCCCACCAGTAATTATGGATCTGATCAACTCTTCCGATTACCAGGTCACTGTCTCTACATTAGCAAGAAATAGCACTCATTTCCCAGCTCCTGCCTCAAAAATAATCGTTGTCCTTTTTTTGTTCATGACATCGATAATTGGTATTATCAGCAATGGTCTCTACCTATGGGTACTAAAATTCAAGATGAAAAGAACTGTCAATACTCTTTTATATTTTCATCTCATTCTCTCATATTTTATTTCAACATCAATTGTGCCATTTATAACCACCTCCTACCTTCAGGACAATCACTGGAGCTTTGGAACTGTCATGTGCAAGGTCCTCAACAGCATTTTATATATGGGGATATTCGCCTCCAGTTTCTTCCTCTCAGCCATCAGTGTTGATCGGTACCTTTTCACTCTTCACCCGGTGTGGTCACAGCTGCACCGAACCCCACGCTGGGCTTCCATCATAATCCTGGGAATCTGGATCTCTGCCACTGTCCTCAGCACGCCCTATTTGGTTTTCAGGGAGACATATGATGACCATGAAGGAAAGGTGACCTGCCAACATAGCTATGATGTGTCCACTAACTGGGAAAGCAAAAAATGGATTCATGTAGCCTGTTTCACCAGCCGCTTCTTGCTAGGCTTCCTTCTGCCTTTCTGCATCATCACCTTTTGTTACGGAAGAATAGCCAACAAGATGAAAAAGAGGAGCCTGTTTAAATCCAACAAGCCTTTCAAAGTCATGATGACGGCCATTATCTCTTTCTTTGTGTGTTGGATGCCCTACTATGTATATAGGGGCTTACTTCTCACTAAGAACCAATCTCTACTTTTACAGTTGATTTTGTTACTTGCAGTGATTACCACTTCTTTCAACGCTGTCTTTTCTCCCATACTCTACCTGTTTATAGGGGAGAACTTTAAAAAGGTTTTCAAGAAATCCATTCTTGCTCTGTTTGAGTCAACATTCAGTGAGGATTCTTCTCCAGAAAGAACACAAAACCTAAGTTCGGAAACCTCCATTTAAATGCAGGGTCCCATGAATTCTTAGTTAATTACACAACCAGAGATATGCCCTCTACTTCTGTACAATATAGTTCTATATTAGAGAGACATCTAGGCTGTATTGATATTAGATTATGAATATTAAAAGAGCTATAAGAAAGTAAGCAATAGGTGATGTTCTGAATGTAATTTTCCCCTTTTTTATTGTGATAAAATATTGACCCTTGAACAACATGGATTTGGACTTTCACAATAACATTTTCTTTTCTCTAGCTCATTTTATTGTATGAATACAGTATATAGAGGGTTGGAGGGCTTGGTTAAAAATAGTGATGGGATTAAAAAGTACAAATTGGTAGTCACAAAATAGTCACAGGGATGTAAAGTACAGCCCAGGGAATAGAGTCAGTAATATTGTCATAACTATGTGTATAGTGCCAGGTAGGTACTTGAAATATAGAGGGGACCTCTTTGTAAAGTATACGATTGTCTAACCATTATGCTGTACACCTGAAACTAATACAAAATAATATTGAATGTAAACTGTAATTGAAAAATAAAAAATTGAAAAATGAATACATTATATAATACATATAACATACAAATATGTATTAATCAACTTGATGTTACTGGT